CACACACACACACACACACACCACTTCACAGGACATTCAGGACTTTCACTCATTCATTCATTCACTCAAAAAACTTTAATACAAGCTTCCCTACCTACAAGCCTAATTCAACCAAAATGCACTGATTTGTGTTTACGTTGTGACGACTTGCCTTTCTTCCATCAGTGAAACGTTGAGTCCTCACAATGTGAAGACGTATTTATACTGACACAACATGACTGGCACACATGCATAGCTGTGCACTTGTATTTACATGCATACAAAATGACACACCTACGATCACATAAAAGACACATGTAATTTCAATCCTACTCTCACATAATCACACACACTCTCGCACACGCACACACATGGATGGGCACAGAGTCGTATTTGTCAATGGCGCCTTTTGTTTCTTTTATCTGAGCTTGCAACAAAGCATTCCTGTGTACACAGAGGGGAGAGAGATAGAGAGAAGGAAGGAAGGAAGGCGAGAGAAAGAGGAAAGGAGAAGAAGAGAGAGGAAAAGAGAAAGAGGGAGATCAGGAAAACATCCACTGCTCTGTTTGTCAGACAAAAGTTTTGATTGAGTTCTTGGATTCGTCTCACTGAGGCTGCAGGTACAGTAAAGTTGTAGCGCTGCCATGGAGATGGAATACATCCTGCTGGAGAGGTTCGTTAATAGTTTCCCTCTCATTTACTCTATTAGTTATCTGATACATGGCTGTAGTGGAATTTGCGAGCGTATTCGTGTGTGCGCGGCTGACAGGGAGAGGGCTGGGTAAGAGGGTGATGCAGAGTTGAAAGAGTGAAGTTTTCAATTGATCCATTGTAAGTGCAAAGCCTTTGAATGGCTCACAAAAGTGTGATGTAATTAAAGCTGATCGGTTATGTAATCCACAATCAGCAAAGGAGCTATTTTTGATTTATGCTACGAGGCAAAAGTATATGGACACACCTGGTCTAGAGATGAGAATGATGAATAATATTTTCACATCTGTGCAAAAAAGTAAAAAAATGTTTGCAGTTTAGAATTTATCAAAAACCCTGACCTCAGCCCTATCTAATGCCTTTGGCACAGATGCTGGCTGCAGGCTGGACCGTGACAGTGTATAATAATTAAGTCCTTTACCGCACTTACATGCAGTTCACCGAAAATTTATTTGACATTGCAGACGAGTAAGAAAAGTGTTTCTAAACTCGTTTGCGTGCAAACTTCCTCAAAAGCATCTCTAGGCCTGTTGTCTTGTTGCAGATGTGAATTGTTACAAATTTCAGCAAAGCGATTTTTCATCTCTGAACTGTTTATATAAATTAATTTTATTTCGCTCAAATTTTTTAGGGGCAAAATCTGTTATTTAGAAAAAGGAGAGAAAGTAAGAGTTGTTTGTTTTTCTCTCCTATACCTTTTCAAGTAAATGATAATTTTCATTTATGCTATGAAGATGACACATGTAAGTGCCTCTAAAGTGAAACATAGGAGACAGAAAAACAGTCCCCAGCACAGCAGCATTATGAAGGGTGAGAATCTTGAATGAGGTTTAAAGTTTTGCTTTCAGATTCAGTTTGGCACTCTTGCCATCAATTCCTTTTATGGAGAAAACCCCTCAAAACTTTGCCTTGTTGTTTGTGTGATGTGATGGTGATTACCATGGTACACTAGACCTCATTTGCAAGACAGCTGAAGCTTGCCCAACTTATGCTTGCACGAGTAATTTACATTGTCATTTTTGGAGGAAGCTAGTCTGTCAGAAATAAACAACTGCTTTAGAAAAACAGTGTAAATGCAGCTGAAAATAGTGTCAGTTTGACTAGCTGCAAGAATAAAATGCCGTTAAGCCACAAATTCACAGTTTTTTTAGTAATATGTCTGTCACACTGATCATTATATGCAGAACATAATAAACACAATTTTATTACAAAAGATTTCAGTTGCATTGCAGGACTTCTTCTTACTTATACATCTGAGTATTACTTCCACCACTAATATACGTTTGGAGCTCACCGATGCTTCTGTCATTGAGTGGGATCAAATCCCTGAAGCCAGGCTCCAAAATTTTATCAACAATCAGGAAGCTGAAATAAGATTCCCAGTAATCACAAATTATCATGTTAACAGGTGCCCACTTACTTTTTGGCCTGAGAGGACCATGAAGACTAGAGAGCTTTTATATCCTTTTACATGAAAAGGAGAGTTTTACATTCTGCTTTAATGAGCGTGCGAAGTTCTCACAGAGTGATCTTCTGAGGATCCAGAGTGTAAAACACCCGAGAAAAGACTTCACAGGAGTCAAGTCTCAGGCTGAACAAGGCCAAAGCACACAGAAAGCTGAACTGGCCCTTTCCCTATCCATCTCTCACTGTCTCTTGCTGTCTCTGGTTTCCAGTCAGAAGTTCACTCTTTGTCCACTAAAGGTCTCCCTGATCAGAATCAACAGTAAGCTTTTTAAATAAACTTTATCTTGATAAACGTCTGAGTTTCCAACAAAGATTTTGACCTTAATTGACTCTTTCAAGTTTCTTCTCTGTCCTTTGGATCACAAATGAGTCTCTGTGTGGGTTGTCTGTTGCGTCAATGAATGCATCCTAATTACTGTCTTCTTTCTTTCTTTCTTTTCACCTTCCTCTTCCTTATCTCCCTGTTTTGTGGGCTATTCTCTCACTTGACCTCCATCATTTGTTGAACGTAAGTGAGCATGTCAAATTATGCAGGAGCTAGCTGTCTGACATGACCTGTATCTAAATATTCTTTCATCTACATATTCATGCAAACATACCAAAATGTAAAAACTGAAAAACTGAAATACTTGCTATCAGATCACGGGGACATTTGAAATTCAATTTGTCTTTCGAAAGACAGAAATAGACAGGTCTTTTGTTTTAGATGAGGGTTAGTCCAAATATGGGACTAAACATTGATTAGCAGCTGTTTCTCTTCCTGTTTTTCACATCAAGTATACATCGCCCAAACCTGGTCTTAAGAAAGATCTAACCACACTAACAGATGTGTGAGCTTGTACTTCCTCTAATACCAAGTCTCTCCTCTTTAGCATTCACCATCATGTTAACTGACACAAAGTGGAGCTGACAGCTGACAGTGATGGAGATGCTGTCAGTCTGAAGAAATGCATGCATTTCAAATAATATGCTAAAGGAGTTAGCATCTACGAGTCAGAAATATCTGTCAAAATGCTGTGTGACATTTTACTATTTGAGGACATACAGCGAGTGTTATTCTTGTCTGAAGCATGCTACATACTTGTGTGTGTAGTTTATCTTTCCATCACTGGTCACATGTTTGTTAGTTTGCTTTTTTCGTTAGTAGTTTACAGCTAGCGAGTCACAGGCACGACATGGTGAGATAATGTATGACTTCCATGCGTAACTATACTTAGTCACTGAAATTTACTTTTTGAAACCACATTTTAATGACTCACTCTACCGTTTAACCACCATAAAAAGCACCAAGCAGCCCACCTTACCTGAAAAACATGTACAGACTATTCTAAAGAAATGATTTACACAAGAGGAGAGTTCTCTATCTTCTATGTGACACAACACATGAAGCTGAAACCCAATAAGTTTTGAAACGTGAAGAAATGTTTGTTCTTCCTGTTTCAGGTTTTAGTTTCAAAGATCGCAATCAAAAGAAGAACAAAGCACCCCTTTTGGGTCACACAGTGACGGCATGTGTCACTTCTTCATGACTATATTTCAGTAAATTTCCAAACACCAAGAATGCCTATTTACGGAAATAATGGGCAGGGTACAGACATTTAAAATGTGTTAGTGTTAACTTGCCCTCTAAGGGTTTCTTCTTTTATTTCTCACATTTTTTTAATGGTGTTATCTGTTTTATATTTTTAGGGTTTACACAGTCTAACTCATCCATACTATAAGAACAGCCAGATGGCACTGGCCTTGCGTTCTCATAATCCTTGATTTGCTGCCTCTAAACTGTTGGCAGGGTGGCACTTCTCATTGCTGCTAAAATATTCATGCTTCAGAAAACTTTCCTTGAGCCATGATATTGGAAATGAAATATATGGTACATGTTAATATGTGTATTTATTTATTCTTCTGTCAGAACTGCTCACTGAATATGTGGTGTTCTAATATTAACACAGTGAATTTTAGTAAATTCCTCAAACTATTATTACATTCAATCAGTTTCTGTTGGAGAGTGACTCATGACCAGAGAGGATTCCTGTCTGAGTGAACTCCCAGAAAAGTTTCACCAGCTAAAGAATTTCCCACAACAACATGTGTGGGTCTGCATGACCTTTCATCTTTGTTATTCTGTTATTAAAATTATTACCAGGCTGAAACAAACACATATTAGACATGTAGTTTAAATGTGTTAATGTGAGAGCAGATATCTGCAGGGAAGTTACTAACAGCTGCAGTTAGTTATAGTGGGAAGTGTGTAAAGTCTGTACACAGGAAGCCACTGTTATCAGATTGGCTCAGCTTAAATGTGACATAGATGTGTCGGATGTCACACTCAGCTTGCCTTTTTTCAGCTAGCAGGCTTACTGTTCTGAAGGAGCTCAAATCATGAGCTTTTTTTGAAATCCAACCAATTAACTTTGTGCCTACAAAAAGCACAAAACCACAAAATGCAAAGGTTTCCTGCAGCTTACACCACAGCTTATACCTGCAGACCCCTAACAAGGATTGTGTAGATCCTGTATATTTTAAAGCATAACATATTTTGCACTCCAGGATGAGAATGTGTACTTTGTGTCAGACAAATGACCAATAAAAACATTGTATTCCATTTTTTTCTATTTCCCAGATGACATCTGCCACACCTCCTTCCTCTCGTAGCTCCTCTCCACATAAAGTTTGCCACTCGCAGACACAGACAGATGTCTTAAAACCTTTACTTGGTGGTGGCATATCTAGTGGGGGAGGGTCTCTGAGGAAGAGGAGACGTGTCCTGTCCAAAGATGGGCGAAGCAACGTGCGCATCGAGCATGTCAGCGGACGGAGTGCTCTGTACATGCGTGACCTCTGGACAACATTTCTGGACATGCAGTGGCGCTACAAGTTCTTCCTGTTCACTGCCACTTTTGCAGGGACCTGGTTCGTGTTCGGGGTGCTGTGGTACCTGGTTGCACTGGTCCATGGAGACCTTCTTGGTGAGAAAGCAGGGAGAAATTTAAAAGAGCAAAGATCAGGTCATAGGTTCACACTGACACGCCTCCCCGGCCTTGAGTTTGGCACATGGAGTCATTCTAAGCGATCTACAAGCGGGTTTTCAGTTAAAAGTTTCAACTGACATTAACAATCATTCACTATTACACCTGAAAAGTGTTTTTCAGTTACATAATTAGTAACTGAATCATACAGAAAGTTTCCAGTTTTGACTTCAAGTCATCTGCACAAAAAGTACCTAATCTTCCTGCGCAGGTTTGTGGTTTATTATGGGTCGAATACAGGAAATGTCTGAAAAAATGTCAGTGCTGACTTTAAAACCCCAAATTATTTATACATTTGAGAAACACTAAAACCTGCAGGTCAGTGCAAAAATATCTAACTATTCAAGTGTTTCTAGTTGTCAACCACTGACAGTTTAATACTTAGACTTCCTGCTGACTTCTTTTAAAAAGCGAAAAACCGTTGTGCTGTGTGTGTGAATTCAAACCCATTCAAACCGAATGCACACAGTCATTGCATAAACTGAAACAGGAGTGTTTGCTAAGAAGCTTCCCAGACTTCAGGTGTTCATTGCGCTTTATGCATCATGACTTCTTGCAAAACCTCAGTCATGTCTGTTTAGGACATTCAACCTCAATGTATGTGCAACTGAGCAATGCAAGAAGAAGTGTGAAACAGATCTCATTGCCTTCTTCACACCAAAACAAAGAGACTACAGACAAGTGTGAAAACAACCATAATAGTGAATATAACCTTGACTAAAGCAGTGACTATAAGGGAAAGTGGAGCCAACAAGATCTCCTGTTCAAACTAAATGAAATCAAATTTATTTCTATAGCACATTTTAAAAGACCGGAGTACATCAAACTGTTTCACAATTGTACCGCAGTGCAGATAAAATTAGGGGCAGAGCATGACAGGTAAAACAAGGTACGAACAATACAATTACATAGTGCAATGCAGCGGGTCAAAGTCAAACTAATTTGCTTCAAAAGCCAAGTTAAACAACTGGGTTTTTTTGGCGAACAATTGAATGGACTCAGCTGTGCGGACATCGACTGGGAGATTGTTCCAGAGTCTAGGGTCGGCAATAGCAAAGGCAGGGTCACCTCTGGTCTTTAATCAAGACCTTGGTTGCACTAATAACAGTTGGCTAGACGATCATAGTACTGTCTTAGGGTTATACAAGTCGAAGAGACCAGTTAGGTAGCTAGGCGCCCGGTTATTTTGAGTTTTAAGAGTAAGCAAAAGTATTTTAAAATCAATACGGTATTTAACGGGGAGCCAGTGTAAGTTAGCTAGGACAGGGGTGATGTCATCATGCCTTCTCCTGTCTTAAAGCTGCCAGTGCTATTCAGTTTAATTGCTCTATATTTTGTTATTTGTTCAAATTTAAATGTAATCATGCATTTAATAATGCATTTTACTTACAAATATGGGATCATTTAAGAGGCTTTCCAACAGATCTATTGCCAAGAAGCATTGTTAAATAAAAAACAAAAAACAACTAACTAATTTCCTTACTTTTTGTGCTAACCAGGATGCATATGCAGTGAGGGTGAATGTTATAGGAGGCTTGTAAAGAGATGCAGAGGCTGTTGTTTCTTTTTTTTACTGAACTTATCTTGCGGTTAAAGTGAAGTTTTAGCTATAATCTGGCAACTACATCATATCTTTATTCTATCTTAGTTTTCGTTAACACATGCCTCTCCCCCTCTTCCGCTGTTGTTACTCGTGTCTCAGCAGACAGTGTGTTTAATAGCAAAATCCCTTTTTTAGCCAGACTTTAAATATTCTGGTCTGTTGTTCCATAATAATGTGTATAAAACTAAAAAGCAAATAATAACAAAAGTGTTTATTTTTATATTTTAGAATTACTTAAAAGAGCTTTTGATGCTTTTTTAAACATGTTCCTCCAGAGTTTGACCCTCCATCAAACCACACGCCCTGTGTGATGCAGATGCAGACGCTAACGGGGGCTTTCCTCTTCTCCCTGGAGTCCCAAACAACCATTGGATACGGTTTTCGCTGCATCACTGAGGAATGTCCAGCTGCCATAATCCTTCTCATAGTTCAACTGGTTATCACCATGCTCATGGAAATCTTCATCACCGGTACCTTTCTGGCCAAGGTAGCCAATACATGAAATATCCATGTAAGATGCAATGAAAAGAGACAAGTGCCTTGTATCAACAAAGCCGTGCAGGCCTTAATTTGTGTTTTGAAAACATAAAAAAAAAAGAAAAAAAGCAGAAGTTGTCTTGACTAAAACAACACTGCAGTGTACATGTGAGCTGCAGGTTTACTTAATAATCATTAACAAAGATGACTCTGACCAAGTTCCTCCTGATCAGGTTGCCCGGCCAAAGAAGCGCGGTGAGACAGTGAAGTTTAGCCAACATGCTGTGGTGTCCGCCCACGAGGGCCGCCCCTGCCTCATGATCCGGGTGGCCAACATGCGCAAAAGTCTCCTGATTGGGTGTCAGGCAAGTATGCATGCAGATACTTTAAGTATACAGTAGCTGGGAAAAATTCCACTTGTTACGGCCGGTCTAGCGGACCCGACCGCAACAAGAGGAATGATCCACCCCCAGTTCGACCCCAAGCAGCACATCACACCATAAGTTAAAATAAGAGATGGTTTATTTACAAGAACAAAACAAAAATGGGTTTCACAGGAGACACTCAGGCTTCGGGGTGGACCCACGCCAAAATAACAAACAAAAGGACACTAACTCAGAGGAGCGACTGCTTGCCTAGCCCCAAAGAAACATGACCAAACAACAATCACTTACTTCCCTGACTAACAAAACATGCGAAAACTGTGCCCAACTGCAAAGGCGGTCCCACCCCTACTTCCTGCTGGATTCACAAAACAACACAGGGCATGTCGCAACCCCAGCTGGTTGAGGGTAAAACCGAGGATGGATGGATTGCCATCCTCAACCGCGTCGTCTTATACCCCGCCTCCAGATCATCATCCAATCCAGGCACACCATCTTCAGGATCCACCACTCCTGGAGGCACACCTGCGAACTCACATTTACATGTCAGAACCCCAGCCCACGACAACAGCCGTAACACACTCCATACTTGTAAAGACTAGACAATAAAAATAGGTTTAGAGGTCATAGATTAGTGTGAATGAGAAATTTGTCAAACTGGGAACCAGTTGAGCTAAAGCAACATGTGCACAATATTCCTATCAGGTGACTGGAAAACTGCTCCAGACGTCTCTGACCAAGGAAGGGGAGACGGTTCGTCTGGATCAGAGAAATGTCCCCTTCCAAGTGGACACTTCCAGTGACAGCCCCTTCCTCATCCTGCCCCTTACCTTCTACCATGTCATCGATGACAACAGTCCCTTGAGAGCTTGGGCAGCCAAGGGTAAGTTTAGCGATGAGAGCAGTAGACTGGGGGGGTCACAAACTGCATCAGAATGATTTCTTTGACCTTTGTGTCTCATTCCTCTGTCATACAAACATCTGACCCTGAAGGTTTCTAGCATAATTTTACCTCCTTCCAAGGTGCTGGTAGGAAAAGGCAAATGCTTTCAGCAACACTTGTGTTATAGAGAAAAACATCATCCCTCATTCCTCCCTTTCTGGTGTATGTGGAGAATTTAACAATAGGCCTGCTTTCCACAAATTGTAGTTAGTTAATAAGCCTAGTAATGAACTGTTAAAAATAGCTTCAGTTTCTGAGAAATGTCATGACTAGGTTTACAAAAATTGAATTCATGCAGAAATAAATTTCCTCTTTTTGGTTGTGAAGTCAAAAGATTAAAAAAAGACTTTAAAAAATGAAGCCACTAGCTTAATGTTTTACATGTTGCTTGATGCTGTATTTGTTAATGTAGTAAATATGACTGAATTCATTTCATTAAGTGATTTTAAATCTAAACTACGAATCCTTGAGGCCAAGTCCATAACATGCAACTGTTTCAATTAGATTGATTGTCATTTTAACTGACTTTTTTATTTTTTTGTATTCTTTCACTTATTGTTGCATGTGTGTTGTTGCTGCCTGTGTTTGAGTAATTTCTGTAACTGTGAGACATCTGCTGCTGCCTATCTTGGCCAGGTCTCCCTTGAAAAAGAGGTTTTTAATCTCAATGGGTTCTTCCTGGTTAAATAAAGGTTAATAAATAAATATGTCACATTCTTCAGGGGTCTCACACTCATTTTAGTTCATGAGCCACATTATAGTTATTTATTGATCACCTATTAAATAGAGCCTAAATAAACCCAGCTTTTTAAAAACAGATGATCATTTGGAGAATTTTAACAGTACTTCCAGCAGAGACAGTTTTCTTAGTTTTGTTTCACTGAAAACGCAACAAAACTGTCTCAGTTCTTCATCTGAAAAAAATAAATGTGAAATGAAACAACATGGTCTCTGATTCCCAACCAGACCATGGGTGATGTCCTTCCAGTAATTAAATGGCTGTAAAGCTGATGACAGTTCTGTTTCCATTACTTCTTTATCTGCATGGACACTTGTTTTTGACGCGTGTTTTCATCTGCATAAAGATTCACTAGCTGGGCCAACGTCCTCATTTTAGGTTTGACAGCGTTTTAGTAGGTAAAGGTGATGCTTGGACATGAATTGAGCTGCGGTTTGGGGAAGGCCTCGAAGGGGACTGCCGATGGCTCCCGGGCCTGGCAGATCTCCATGTACTAAATAGAAGTGAAGAAGATAAGAATCGAAAACAAGGAGGGAGGGAGGGTGGGGCACGTAAACGAGATTGAACAGCTTGCAGAACTGGGGGAACCCATAGAGATGACAACCAGAAGGAGCATTTTTAGAGGCGTGGTCCCGCTCCTGAAATTCCTATACACGATCTCCAATTAAAAGAAGATACACACAAAATGCTCATAATAACACAAATTAAGAGCACTACTAGTGGTTAAAAACCCTTTACTGTAAGTCTTTAAGTGAAATATTCTTATAACTTTCTTTCATCCATTTTGCCCTAAGGATATTCTTGGTCTTTAACTTTAATGTGACATTTCTTTCCATTGTATGTACCTTCTTCAGGTGGTGGCTGGACTGACCCAGAATTGGCTGACTTTGAGTTGCTGGTGATCATGAGCGCCACCGTGGAGCCAACCTCCGCCACCTGTCAGGTTCGCACCTCCTACCTGCCAGATGAGATCCTCTGGGGCTACGAATTTCCCCCTGTAGTTTCCCTGTCTCCCTCAGGGAAATATGTAGCAGACTTTGCCTTCTTCGACAAAGTGGCCAAGACCAAGACCGCCCCCATTTTTAAGCCATCCAGCCCCCAGCACGGGTACCAGAGCAATGGAGGGGGGACTGTACCTGAGGTGACTGATCCAGAGAAGATTCGTCTGGAGCAGAGCTACAGGGAACAACGAGGAGAGGACCGAGGTCGGGTCAGGGACTCTCCTCTGAGTGTTCGCATCAGCAACGTGTGAAGAGTTTAAACCAGAAGGTTTAAAAAGCAACAGGAGACGTCGCCAAGTTCAGTGTAAATAGCAAATCAGTGAAACATCATATCGATGAACAGAACAGATTAATGCTGACTACTGTATGAACATGTGGAGTATGTTATTGTCATATGCTTGCTGGGTATGATATATATAGATACACTCACTTGACTGTATTCATATGAAGGAATAACGTCATAACTACAGCTCTTTACATCTGATCACGGCACAAGTCCATTCACTTCACATACACTACATACAGTTTTAACTCAAAAAACTACAATACAAATGATACAAAAATCAAGTAAAGAAGATGGAAATCTCAGTGGGCACTAACCAAGTTACAAAAAGGTGTGAGACAGTGGTGTTTAATTTTCATTTTTTTTCAAAAGTAGAGCAGAATAAAGAGTGGGTTTGGAGACGTTATTATGACGAAGTGAGATGGAAACACCCGCCCACTTAAGTAGAAGCACTGAACCGTGTATAATACGCCTAAAATGTATGCAAATGTGTGTTTAAAATACATACCCTGTTACATGTAAACATTTATGTACAAAGGTCATATGACTCTGAGTTTTTGCAGTAAAACAGGAGTAAAAGCAGTTTTTCTGCCTCCTGCAACCCCTCCCCACCCCCGATTTCCTCTAAATGAGTAATATATTTTATATTTCCTGGTAAAAACCCAAACATGTACTGTAATAGTTCAATTAAATGTAGCACTACAACTGAAAAGTAGACAAAGCTGATACGTTTTGTGTTCAGTATGACCTGTATGTTGGTAATGGTATTTGTATTTCATGATTTCTGTCATGCGTGACTGCTGTTGCTGCTTCAGAACATAGCACTTTATGTATGTGATGTAAATTTGTATCTTGAAAGGTTAAGGTGAATGTGTGTTAAATTTTGAGTCTACTAAAAGCACTCAAACACTGAAAATGATTGAATTGTTAGTTTTAAAAAACAAATGTTTAATTTTTTTTAACAAATCAGACTGTAACAGTTTTTTGAATGTCTCTGTAGCTTTAATAATATTAATGTGTCCAGATATGCACAAACATTAAAGGAACTCTCCTTTATGTAAAAAGCAGTAGCCTACTATTCCTTGAACACTTCTGTGATCACTTTGTTGGATCCCCTTATTTTTTTTAGTGTACAAATCACACAAAAAGTGGAACAGTAGGATACATCACAGGTGAGTGCTGGGATGTGAGAATGCGGAATAGTAATAGTTACAAATGAAGTGATCCATGAGCTTAATGGATCTGAATAGGATGAAAAATACACCTTTTGTAATACTTCCTTCACACTATGAGTGTAAAGTGTCTTTAAAGACCAGCTTAGTGACTTATTCTTATCTTTGGTTTTCTTCATCCTCCTCTTGTACACCACTTGAACCACTTGAACTTGTACCACCCTGGAAACTATCTCTGGAAGACTCTCACTCTTTCTGGAAAAATCTCACCCCATGTGGACTTTCCGCTGCTTGTCAGGGAATTCTCATCTCATTTTGTACTTTCCTGCCTTTTGTAAACATTTTTATCTCTGAGCCTGTTGTGAGTCTTCCAGTTATATGATTAGCTGTGACAGATATGCTCTTATTTTAGTCAGTTTATTAATCCACATACTACTAAACAGCGTTTCTTGCCTCTGATATACATAATTAAAATGATTGTGTATAGGTATTAGCTATATGCTCATGTGGAACCATCTGTTTAGACTGGAAGACTTCAAATGAAACTGCAATTGAGGTTTAAGTCTTACTGATACTATGTTAACCTCAGCTGCATCCTACTGAAACCCTAACATAAATTTATCAGCATGTTTACAGATTTGTAACACATCTACCAAACGCAGCTTGGCTAACATGATCATTTTTCTTTGGTTCAGTCATAAAGGGGGTGGGTGTCTAGTTGGATGTCTTTGTCTCTCTTTGATGTCATTTCAAGCACTGACACGTGCCAAATATACATTTGTATTGCTTACAACACTGAAAATAACCCTTTCATTGCTCATCTTGTTAACAATTATAACGGAAAAGCCTCTTTAAACTATTTATTTCTCACTGAAACTTTTTTAATAAAAACTAAAAACAAATAAACATTAAACCAACCCAAAAAAGGAAAGAGAAGCTGACAGGAAGTCTGGTTTCAAAACGTTATGCTGCTTCCTCATTGATCATTTGAGAGAATCATGACTTGTGGTGTAGTCTTGTTTGCGCTACTTTTGTTCTACATAATAGAAGTACAAGGTAAGAACTTGTTCTTTTTTCACAGCTACTGTGTTGTTATTTTAAAGAACTTTACACAATACAAATCAAATAACAAAAATGCTGTTTTCAGTAATGCCTTTATTTTAGTCATGATGCTAATAAAATTCAAAATGATCCAGAAGTTTCTACTGAGATGTTGATTTAGTAGTGTGAATATCTGCTCACATTTGTTGTTGGGGCATGGGGGGAACAATAACATATCAATACTGCCTTACTAGGATAATCTACTCAATATTAACATTGCTTTGAAATAATACAGTCGTTCAAATGTAGTATGTACTTAAAATATGATGTAGAAACACAAATGAATCATAACTCTGTACACTAGATACTGGAAATACTACAAATATAAACTTTATGAAAAAATGAAAAATAAAATAATCTTTTCTGTTTCATATCAGTATCTGTATGTCTGGCTGTATGTTGTGTATAATATATGTATATTATATTTATCTCTGTGTCAAATGAATTTCTTCTGCTGCACAGCAAAAACCCAACAAGTTGGAAATAATTTTTTTTTCTTCTGCACATTTTGTTATTTCCTTTGCCCTGTTTGAAAAAATATTCAGAATTGTTACACATTTGAGTGGAACCAGCTGTACGTTTGCTGGCATGACTGTCATAAGATGTTCTTTTAATTTTTATAGCACCAATTCATAACCAGTCAGACAGGCACAGTATAAATTTCTTCATTAACAAACAGCAGACTCATGAGCTGACGCTAAAATTTTTTTGGTCCTCTTCTACACTTTGCACACGTCAGCCTGTAAGGTTTATTTGGTGGCTTAGTTTGTAATAATGCTGCTCCCCTCGTGACAAATCTTGAGCTCGACCAGAGTCTCAGTGCTCAGTGCCCAGCAGTTTGTATGAGAAGGGTTTACCTCTCTATTAAAAACATAACGATTCTATCTTGATCTGAATGACCTCACTGAGAGAGACAGAGAGAGCGCTTTCTCTTCCGTATCTTTATCGGGTCTGCTGGAGTTTTATTCAGTAATTTTTGCTGCTAATGCCAGAATGCTGGTTATTACTGACGTGTACGGGCTGGATTTTATTTCTCCTTAAATTATGGCTCAAAACTTCTCTTGATTTATCTCTTATCTCAGCTAATCTGAAGCAAAAATGCATTTATGAGGATACAAACTGTATTATACTGAGCCTTAAACACACTTTGATCAGTTAATAAATATCTTAATCTTATTTTAGAAATCTTACATCAATCTTGTTAATGCAAGACAACAACTTGACAACAAGCAGCTTTTATTACAGCAGCATTAATTTAACATATTGTTTTTAAAATTTTTATATCATTTAGCACGTTATGGAAGGAATTTGAATATGGAGTTACAGTTAATGTTCGAATAATCTGTGCTACTTTGCGCCACCGTCCAATCATTTGTTTTCATGAATGCTCAGCTGGTCTGACATTATCAATTATGGGACAGCATTTTCTCCTCTTATTTCATAGTTTCAAGTATGATCACAGTGCATCCTTTGCTAAAGTAATAAATTAATAAAGGAAGCACTGAAGCTTCTTTTCCTTTGGAACTGAACAGAGCAAACAATTCTTAATATGTCCACCACACAGATACTCAGATAGGTCACTTGAGTCATTTAGGGACCTTCTTATTCTATTTGAAATGACCCAAGAAGTTTCTTATTTTAGCAATATTGCATAGATGAAATAAGGCAGTCCTAAGTTTTTTTTTTAAATGACTGCAATACTGGGTTACTGGAGACCACAGTAACCCCATTCATATAGGGCTAGGGATATGATCTGCTTTCACCGATTAACAATAAATGGGTATCATCTTCATAACAATAAAAATAAATCCAGTGTTTCATATATAAAATAAATATGAACCCAGTGCAGTAGGTATTCTATTGCTATATTTTGA